GCCGGGTGCGCCTCGCCCCGCCACGCCTCGCCCTCTCCCCGCCCGCCTCGCCCTCGCCCGCCCCCGCCTCGCCACGCTCACGCACACCGCGCCACCGGCCGTGGCTCGCCTGGTCAGGCATCCAGCAGAGGAGAGAGAGGGGAAGGGGACAAAAGCAGGGGCAGGTGGTTGCCATGCGGGCCATGTGTGGACGCGAGGACGCGGACGGGCTGTCCACGACTGTCCACTTTGACTCAAACCCATCTCAATTTTGCTCTGGATATGGGGTCGAAGCGGATACTAAACAGACAAAAAGGCAAGATGAGGTTGTGCGTTGGGTCGTTGGTTTTGTCCCTTTTACCCCAAACGGAAGGGCCGGACTATTTGGGGTCGCGCGGTGGAGTTGGCCTAACCTCGGGACTAATGTCTAATTGCAGCAAGTTCTGGTTAATTAATCCAACATGGAACCCCCAAGCTAGACTTTCACGATCCTGTTAGAGACAATTGTCACCTCCTTTTGTGTGATCCTGTTAATAACCCAAATCGAGAAGATTCCATCCAATTAGATACACAATTCTTGGGGGATGAGATGAACTGGTTTACAGAGGAGTGTGTGAGATAGGAGAAGACGAGGAAGATGGATACTGGTGAGATGAGAGTCCTTTCATATCTTCTGGTCATCCTCAAGTACTCAGAGCATCTCCAGCCGAGCCCTCAACACGCTCTCTTCAGGTGATTTTTTCGTGCCGGCGCACAAAAATTGGCCCAGTCGCGCCCCAGAAGCCCAATTTTCATCGGCTTGGGCTGAATTATGCGCCAGCGGACCCAGGCCGAACCCGGCGCGCTGGGGGCGCCGGGCGAAATGGTTTTGGTGTGAAATAGTCGTGGGCCCGCCGAGTCAGCGACACTTGCCTCACGGGGAATCAATGCCAAGGCTGCCGCCGGTCAGCCTTCCATTGATTCCTCACGGGGCAGCTCTTCACGGGCGGCGCTGCCCCCCGCCCCGCCTACACATGCCTCCCCGACGGCTATAAAAAGTGCCCCCTCCCCGCCGTTGGCCACAGACGTCGTGCGCTCTCTCTCTCTCTCTCTCTCTCT